AAATGTCTATAGTGTATCTAAATCTAATATGGGGATATATAATTTTATATGTGGCCCGCGGAGTTATGATGCATTTCCAAAGTGGCCCGAAAGATCATTTGGGTTGGCCACCCCTGGTCTAGGACTACGCGCTCTTCTGGAAGTCTTCTGGAAGTCTTCTGGACAATTCTGTGCCCAATTATGCAAACACGGAGATCGTAAATATTCTCAGGGTTTTGTGTGTGTATCTGCAAAGGAAATGCTTCTGTGCCATTCTGAACGTACTTTTATGACTCGCCATTGTATATTTTTTGGACGCCCTTAAAGAATCATTTCCCCAAAGAAGATCACTTTTCCAACGACTTATCGTTTAGGAAGAACCTTTTTTTTACACATCAGCGTCATTTGGGGTAATTTTATCCCACAAATTCATTTCTGAGGCGTGGGCCTTGTGTCGCTTGGTCGCTGGGACCGTGGGTTCGAATCCCACTCAAGGTAGAGGCCTTGCGACGGGCCGGTGCCTCGTCCAAGGAGTCCTACCGAATGTCCATAGATCAAGCCAACTAAAAAGTTGGATGGGCAAGCCTGCGAACACCCACCCCACGGCTTTTGCTGTAGACCTCATCAGTATGAGATGTGCGGAGAGACAGACGGACGCGACAACCGAATTGCATGCTCTCTGCTCAAGGAAATCATAAAATCTTCTTTTAATATCGTAGAAAGAGGTAGGTCGAAGGCGTATTAGGTCTAGTTTCGTACAGAAATCAGTATATTTTTCGGAGTAATTGAACAGTCACGCAGAATCAGTCTTCTAAGATTTTAATCGACTTGACGTCATTATGGTTTATCGTGATCGAGTCATTGCGGTGTATCCATGCGTTGAGGAAATGCAGTTATGAAATGTAGGCCAGGCCAAAATGCAGTCAAAGGTTTGTTTTAAACCGTTGCTATTCGTTTCATGTCCTGACAATTGTTGATGGTCAATGACTGATTGACCTTTAACCACCTTATCAATGTCTAAAGATGACAGCCTTCTGGGATATTCGACTGAAGAGGCCTGTTGCCCTGATTCAGTTATAATTCTACAAGCTCCGACAGTCAATTCCATACCAGAATGCACATAATGTCCTCACGAGTTCCTTGCAACGTGCATTTGCCTAGTTTGATAGTCCCCGCTTTGACCACGAGATTGCAGCACCGGTAAGTCTACCTCGCGATTTTTTTCCATCCATCATTTTGTCATCACCGCTCGTAGGATATTCAAATTTCATCAAAATCCATCCAGCGGTTCTCGAGTTAAATCGACCGGTCAGATGGACGGAGGGACAGACATGATCAGGCAAAAATGCGTTTTCGCTATGCACTTTGTGCAGAGAACGCATTGAAATAAATATATGATTCACGCGTATTGTATTTGGTGGCAAGATTGTAATATAGGCCAAAGTTAACATGCCTATGTGCATTTTTTGGTATAAAATATAATAGTAATATGTATTGTAAATACGAACGTAACATTATACTTTGAGGCCGTTATTGTGTTTAGATACCGGTAATTGATTTTATGAACTCATCACTGAAGGCGGAGACACTACGAATGACGAATAAAGTTCATCAGCAACGGGTTTAAACAAGATGGAACCGGTTCTTTCAAAGTTAATGTCTGGTATGCACATAACAAGAAACTGTTGGTACATTTACAAAGAAAGATGTAATAATTTCGCGCATAACACCCAGCACATACGGTCATCTAGTCAATACTGGCAGCGTTGCGTAACTTACAGCGAGCGGATACGACGGAGATAAGCAGACTGAGGTAGCAGTGCCTGTAATAAGTTGTCGCCAGTGGTAGTTGACGGGGGGATACGTAATTCATCTTACGCCACCACGTGGTCGAGACAGTGTTACAGAGGCAGAAAGGTCTGGTATATAGAGCAATCCAAATGGAAGAACTAAGCTTTATCGCGTTCGAGTAGCATCAGGGTCGCGGCTGGCCGATCTTACGTTCATTTGTGCCGTGTGTGTGCATGAGTTAACAGTGCCATGCGCAAAGTGGCCAGAGAGAGGAATGGGACGAACCTGGGAGCCCACATACCATTACCAACCGACGAAGAAGATATACGACTACCAAAGAAAGGTGCGTCATCATATATTATTGTGTGTTGGAATTAATTATTGTGCTTCTGTGTATAATAATGTAAAAACCTGACAACCACGGACCAATAAATTATTGTAGCCTCATTACGTAGCTAGCATGACTTGAAATTCTTGACACGTGCACCGAGGTAGAGCGCTTGCGCATACTGAGACACACACCGTAACAGTGATGGAAACATGAAAGCATCGTGTTTATATTTTAGTGGCGAAAATCGGGTTATCGTATTTAGTGCTGCCAGTGTTCAGATTCCAGGCCAACTGTAATAATTTTAACAGAATTTATAACATCAAGATAAATTATGAACTTCAACAGAAAATTTAACAAACACGTAGATACACATAATTGTACCCAGTTTCCATTCTGGTATTTTGAAATTTCAGAATTACTGTGTTTTGAAAATGTAATTCAGCTACTGGTATGATTTATAAAAATGCCATTTTATAAAATCTTTCCTGTCTTATGCCTGCTTATAACAGAATCCCGTTTCAGACTGCCTTTTATTTACTTCTGAACTTAATATATTACATTGTTCATAGCACATATATTTGTGATCCAAAGCACAAGTCAGATTGTTAAAATTTTTTAGTTTTATTCCTCCCTGGCTAGGCCTGTTTGTAGTGAGTGTGTTTTATCTGAGCACAGTATGGAATAAAGTTACTACTTTGGCTGGCTAGGCCTGTTTGTACTGAGTGTGTTTCATCTGAGCACAGTATGGAATAAAGTTACATGGATAGTTGCAATGAATATTTGGAAGCAGATTTTTCCATCACCAATGATTTTATACTTTAGATATCACAGTTTAACTGTTCTTTATTTTTGCAATTACACTCAAATTCAACAAACAGCAAACATCACAAAATAACTAAATTTTCCAATAAGGCACCAAAATGTCTGACAGCAACGTACCTATAAAATGAAGATGAATGGAATAATAGAGCAAGCACCAGAATATGTACGGCTGGAACAAAGATTTTCAGAGAAAAGACACGCAGACCAAATGCACCTAGAGGTAATCAAATCTAATCTTGTACAGTATGTAATGTAGACCTTATGTTTTTGTTCTTATATTTAATTCATTGTTCTAAACACTGAGAACATAAATGTCAGCATATCCATCTTGATGAGAGGGCCATACCATTTAACCTGTAACCCCCGTCACTTATTATTACAAAAGAGCCGGGGTAGCTCGGTCAGTATAGTGACTGGCTACGGACTGGTCGATTGGGGTTTGGTCTCCTGTGGCGGCAACCACCTATCTAATGGGTGCCAGGGTCCTTTCCTGGGGGTAACACACAGCTGGGGCATGATGTTGACCACTTGCCCCCATCTAGTGCTGAGGTTAAGAATGAGTAGGAGCTATACCTCCTCTCTCCCACCAAGTGCCTATAGTGGGGCAGCTTTACTTTTTTTTTTATACTGAAGTTATAAATAATTTGGGTCATATGGCCTGTGAAATATTGTTTGTGAATAAGTAAAATTTAATAACACGTGGTTTGTGAATTTATAAACAGGTATACCACTGCTCATATTTACCATATGAAATATAAATAGGTAAATTTATCCCTGTAGCTTAACTAATCACCACACCATTTTGAATATGAGGAAGCGGAGGGAGAGCTCCACACATTTTTAACTTCAGCACAATTGGAGTGTATAGTTTGGTTCATACCCCAACTGCGTTACTCCCAAGAAAACAATCCTGTTACACATTGGATATGAGATTCGTGGAACCGAGGTTAGGTCTGGACTTTGCGGCAAAGGGAAGAATCCCGATATATTGGTAAGTGAATCTCACTCATCCAGCCCATAGCTTTACTGACCGATGGCATCTTGGTATTTGAATAACTTCCTGTAGACTGTCTTCATTTAGTGTGTATCAATATTTATAGTTGGTTTAGGTTCTTCTTATGTCATACTTATTTATATAAAAATTAATGAACAGATCAAACTTGAGTTAGTAAAGCACTGGAGGAACACAAATAGATGTACTTGTAAAAATAACTTTTCTTTCAATTAGGGACACATAATACATATTGACTAGTTAAAATCTTAAAAATTAATTTTCTTCATACTCTTGTGTAACATTTCCACAAATATGAAATTAAATGTTGGCAGTTTATGCATGACTAATGGAATTTAATGACCTTCATGATGTTGGTGACATAATTTGTAGGTTAAGAATATAACTAACTTAACTAACTAGATGGCCTCCGGAACCTGAAAGTTAATTGCCGAATTAACCGAAGCCCTCCACCTTAGAGGCCAACAAAATCGAGTCTCCTTCAACTTCTATCTCCAAAAGAGATTAAGGATATAAATAACACAAGTACATTTACAGGAAAACAAATAAGTTGATGTGGAAGTAAATATAGATAAAATTTAATGATGTTGGAAAACCAGTAATAAATAATTTAAGAATGTTTTCAGTTTTAACTATCTGGGAAAAATACCGTGAGTCATAGAAATTAGGTCCATGATGGAGTAGTGAGTAGATTAAATTCAGCACATTTGTTAGAACTAAGTTCAAATATGATTATCATCTCATCAGTTTTCCAGAACAATGAAGATCAAGATAGGTTTTATTACTACATTATTCAGCCGGTTATTTTGTTAAAAACAACAAATGTAAGTTAGATTTAGTGGGAGTACAGCAAGGGTGGTACTGAACTGGCAGATGATTATGCGTTCTTCTGTGGACATGGGAATGTTGATCATTGCGTACGGACAGGCTTTTTTATGCATTCTTGTTCTCCTATGGCTCTCTGGTCCGTATTCGGTCCATGGGCTCCTGAATTCTCCTCTTCCATTCGGTCCTCTGTTAGGTCCATCTGTCCGAGACTGATTGAGGTTTCGAAACATCTTCCTTTTTATGTTGCAAGGTTGTTAGCCTTGTGACCAACCCCCAACCTGGAGGACCAAGGTACCTGTCTTAGTCTGACCTCTCCCCCTCGACCAATCTGGCTAGGGAGGCCCTACCAGTAGCTCTTGGGGTCACTGAGGTACTCGAGCCCCACCACCACGACAAATCGCAGCAGTTGAACCGGAATTTCTGATTATGAAAATGTAACCTTTTTCTTAACATTCTTTAATTTTATGCACTTCTGAGTTTCACAGCACAATGAACAGAAAATGCCCTGACCTTCTTTTTTCTTGCATCATGGATTTTAATAGACACTAAAGATGCTGTGTAACTTAATTATATGTTTCGTAACAGTTCGAAGTATTGTATTTGATAAGAAATTGGGCCGCAGTTGTATAGAAATAATTAAAAGCTTTTAGATAAGTGGTGATCACATTTCATTTTTAAGTCTGGCCACAAGGCAGTACAGTCGGGGCAGTTATTTTGTTAACAGCGCCTATTTTCTTGACTTGCCGAATGTAATATTGTATTACAACGTGGTATCGTGTTGGTAAATATGCTGCATTAACTTAGACAAGGCTAGCTTTCAAATTATTCACTGTCAACACAACCTGTCTTAATCTGAAATTGCTAAATGACCTCCATTTATTACTGCAGATTAAAACCATGCTTAAAATACTGATGATACAATTTCAGTGAAAAATGCTGTGGTTAGCAGCCTGGAAGTAGGCGTACAGTAAATTATATAATATATTTTTGGTTTAAGAACTAAATCCACATACAGTCATTTTGTTCACACTGTTATTGGTTGAATAAATGGGATTTAGCATTATCATTAGTAACTTCAGTATGAAAGAAAAATCTAGCCAGTATGCAACCGATAGCTGGTCCTCCAGGTTGGGGGTTGGTCGGACCGATAGCTGGTCCTCCAGGTTAGGGGTTGGTCGCAAGGCTAACAACCTTGCACCGTAAAAAGGAAGATATTTTGAAACCTCGATCAAAGCCTCAGACAGAATGGACCTATCAGAGGACCGAATGGAAGAGGAGAATTGAGGAGGTCATGGACCGAATACGGACCGGAGAGCCATAGAAGAAACAAAGACTGATAGCAAACCTAAACTACTGCATAAAACACACCTTTTGAACAATTCCATACAAACTATAAACATATAATAATGTATTCTGAGAAGTGATGAAGTAAAATAATTCAGGATTGAAGTAAAGTACTATATGAGCTGAAAATAATGAACACAAAGGCATGATAACATGAACCCAGCATATGGTCCATAGTCCATGTGCTGTCAGTGATCCCATGAACCTGATGTTGGTTAAGTTCTTCCTTAGTTTCATGCATTCTTGTGTATATGCTTTGAATCACTGTAATCAACCTGTTTATGACGCTGTTCAACTTTTAAGTCACAGCTTATGTTCATTACACACCATAATTTATTGCTCACATGATTAATTTTCTAGCATTTTGCAGTGTTACTGATGGATTTGATGGAAATTAGACTCTTCTGTAATAGAACATTTTATGTAATATAATGCATTAAAAATAGCACTTATGGATTGTAGTCTGATGATGACAAGGAATTTCTAAGCTAGAAAAACAGTCTTTCATTTGAGACAGCAATATTAAGTGGGTGTATCAGTGGCACATGATGCTCTGTGCACTAACCCCAGCTCAGAAATAAATAAATTGAAACATTACAAAGTAATTGAAACATATTTTATATTGTATAAGATTTGAGGTTTTCACACCGGTGAGCTTGAAGATTTCTGTCTTCTGGGTTGTTGCGCTGTGTGGTCTGGTAGATTAATTGTCCTGATGACGGAGGCAGTATGACCTCTGAAACGTTGGTAAACATCGACCAGACTACACAGCGCAACAACCCAGAAGACAGAAATCTTCAAGCTCACCGGTGTGAAAACCTCAAATCTTATACAATATAAAATATGTTTCAATTACTTTGTAATGTTTCAATTTATTTATTTCTGAGCTGGGGTTAGTGCACAGAGCATCATGTGCCACTGATACACCCACTTAATATTGCTGTCTCAAATGAAAGACTGTTTTTCTAGCTTAGAAATTCCTTGTCATCATCAGACTACAATCCATAAGTGCTATTTTTAATGCATTATATTACATAAAATGTTCTATTACAGAAGAGTCTAATTTCCATCAAATCCATCAGTAACACTGCAAAATGCTAGAAAATTAATCATGTGAGCAATAAATTATGGTGTGTAATGAACATAAGCTGTGACTTAAAAGTTGAACAGCGTCATAAACAGGTTGATTACAGTGATTCAAAGCATATACACAAGAATGCATGAAACTAAGGAAGAACTTAACCAACATCAGGTTCATGGGATCACTGACAGCACATGGACTATGGACCATATGCTGGGTTCATGTTATCATGCCTTTGTGTTCATTATTTTCAGCTCATATAGTACTTTACTTCAATCCTGAATTATTTTACTTCATCACTTCTCAGAATACATTATTATATGTTTATAGTTTGTATGGAATTGTTCAAAAGGTGTGTTTTATGCAGTAGTTTAGGTTTGCTATCAGTCACATCTTCTTCTATGGCTCTCCGGTTTAAAGCATAGATTTGCATGGATGGAAGTGAATATTTTATGCACACCAATTAGAATTTAATTTATGTTGTAACAAAATGTTATTTTCTATATAAAATTGAACTCTAATATAAAAACAAGGAGTAGAGAGTAATGGTGAATATATGAATACATGAACCATATATCAGTCTTGCATTAAATGGTTATCAAATGTACCAACTTCTTGAAAAAAAAACAAACTTGTGTTGCATTTAAGATTTACCACACAAGACATTAATTATAGGTCAGAGATAAAAATCATATGAGCAAGTAGGAAACATGAACAGATGTTATATTCATGTTGCTATGGGGGAAAAGACAAGCTGCTTTACTTGCAACTAACTGTCCACTTGTCTGTTGAATAAATACTGAAACAGGGGTTTAAAATTACTCACCAACCCCAGTACATTGCCTCAGCAAATACTGCCGTCTTTACGTCGTGCCCTCAAAAGCCTCAGAAGATAAATTCACTATATAATTTCAAAGGGAGTCCCAGTCAAGCACTACCCATACTAACTGTTATTTACCAACGTCTACGGCCATCCAGTTGTATTGATGATCATGAAATTCACAGATTTAAAGATGCTGGATTTCTGGTCTCAACAAAACATAATTTTCTTGATCTTATAGAAGGTTATACTCCATATCTTATGTTTTGGTGGGGGGGTGGATCGTAAATCTCTTGTACCTATGCTACATTGTGCCACGGTGGTCTATCGGTTAGAACGCTGGCCTTGTAATCCTGGGGTCTCGGGGTCGATTCCCGGCGGTGCCCGAATTTATAACTTGTGTTGGGCAAGGCCGTGGTCTAGGCAATACGGAGTTTTCCTCCGTGGCATCCCAACAGTTACTCCATTCACACACAGAAGAAGGCAATGGCAAACCACTTCTGGATCATCTGCCAAGAACGTATATGAACAGGTCCCAGTCCGAGAAAAGGATGGAAGGATCCTGTTCATATGGACCTGTCGTCAGACAGAACACTAAATAATAATAACCTATGCTACGCCGTCAATGAGTGACATTGCTGTCTTTACAAGGGTGCCAGGGCAGTGCCTGAGCACTCACAAAAGTACAGGGGCACTGCTTGACTCCAGCCCTGATTACATTGTCCTACCATCTTTTATGTTTTTTTTTTTTTTAATTTTCAGCATGTTTTGGTACACGGCATTTTGTTACTTTCATGCTGTTCCTTGGGATGGCAAATGCCTACATAATGCGTACCAACATGTCAGTGGCGATCGTTGCCATGGTGAACCATACAGCCTTGCCCAGAGATGACACTGTTTTAGACGATGAATGTGATTCTGACAACAGCTCAAACAGTTGGGTAGCTGAAATGAGTAAACATAGTTCAGAGGTAAGAAAATTGTGATATAGGAAATGGCGTGAATATTTCATTTGTAATATTTATTGTTCTGCGGTGGAAATAACATTTTTCTTTCTGTCACCAATCACTAATCCAGGATTTTCTGTTATTCTTAAGAAGTCAAATTAAACTAGTTTTTAACCATTCACATATTTTACAGGAAATATCTTACTTATAGACAGTGGAACTTCTGAATTTGTTTCATTTTTGAGGATTTAACCATTCACATATTTTACAGCAAACTTCTGAATTTGTTTCATTTTTGAGGTTAGGGAAGTCTGTCCCACCCCTTCTAGATGGTTAAAGGTAACGACTTGTGTTTTTTCAGCAGCAGACAGAATGTTGCAATGGAACATAGAAGAAGGTTTTTTTTTAAAAAAAATAAAACCTGCATGGTAATGGTTAATGAAGTTATCGTCTTGCTGGTTTTCTTGAAAATATTCTACAGTCGTATTTTTTGTAAGATGATTCAGTGATAATATTTGGAAGTACATGTATGATGGTTTTATCACCTGAAGATAGTGTTCAATGAATATGTTTTCTTTTTCCAGACAATAAATTTTCAGATATGCTGATCTCAGTTCCAGACCAAGAAGTCCATATGTTCTTGTTCCAGAAATCGTCAGATACAGGCACATTCGTGTGGGACGCAAAACTGCAAGGTTATATCCTTAGCAGCTTCTTCTACGGTTATGTCCTAACACAGATACCATTTGGAATCATGGCAAAGAAATATGGAGCCAAATACTTCTTGGGTGTTGGAATGCTTATCAACTCATTGTTTGGTCTCCTAGTTCCTGTTGGAGCTAATGGTGGCATTGCCTGGCTTATTGTTGTGAGGTTCATTCAGGGGCTCGGTGAGGTAAGTACCGAAATTATTATTATTATGAGAATATGTGCACATTTTCTTGCAAGAATAAATGTAATTTCTGAGGTGATTTGCAGGTTTGGTCTGCGTTCACGTTCTTTTAATCGTCTTTATGCGAGGCGGACCGAACACCTCTGCCAACTATTATTGTTATTGATATTTTTATGGCGGTTTATGAGAAAATTATTGTAGCCATCAATGTTGGTCTTCTCGGATGTAATGCTATGTGGTCTAGTGAGTATGTACCTATAAGTCTGCAGTGTTACAACCTAGAACAGTGGTTCCCAAACCAGGTGGTACTCACCAAAGTGCTACAAATAAAAATTGTTGCAGTGTTTTTTTACTCTGATTATTGTGCTCCAGAGTAGAAATGAAAAATACATGTGTTAAAGCACAGATTATTAGAAACTGTTGTGGCCTCAGATTGTCATTGTGAGTAAAGAAATGGTTTCCTGGTTTATAAAACAGCCTCAAAGTGGTAAGTCTGTCAGTGACTGTAAATCCTGCAGAAGGAAGCCGTCATTCTCCCCATGTTAAAAACTTAAGAGTGAGAAAATATCGTACAGTTTTCTGAGGGTGTAGTTGTCAGTTTGAATACAAGAAATTTATGCAGTCATTAAAAATAGGACAATCATCTCTTGGTAATAAGCTATAAGATTTCTTTGAAAAAACTTGTTAGAGATTCTTGAACAGCCAAGTTGATGAAAACTGCAGTTCACTGTTTCTACAAAAGCACTTGTAGCCATAGTTGAGATCTCATACTTAATTACTGAAAATAAAAAGCTTCATACACAAACATTCCTACCACCAGCAGCCATCAAATTGAATAATGTGTGGTGAAAATCATCCCCAGGCACTTAAAACAGTTTCTCTGACATTAACGAACAACTTCATAGAATAAGTGCAGTCCAAGATGTGCACTTCAGATCAACAGAAGTTGGAGGCTAACTATAGCTCCTTGTGTCTGTCAGACGCTGGGTCGGAGAAAACATTAACGAGCTTTCAAAAAATACATTTTGTGGCTTCTTGTAGAATTGTACATAATTGTGGCCTAAGGTCACATGATGATAAGAATGAGAGGAACAATTTGTCTCACTTCAGCTTGGACGTCTTTCTTGTGTCCTGCTGCTGTATTCATACAGATGCTGATACACTGTGACCAAAAAATATAATCTGAAGTGATAATAGTCATTCACAGTCTCTGTGTGAGTGGTCGATAGAACATGAAATCTTCACCTTTTGAACGCTCTTCTGTTTGCAGTAATGTACGAGGACATGCAGGCAGACCACAAATCGCTTCTATAGCATTTAGAGGTAAGGTGGTTATCAAGAGGTTCTGTTCTTAAATGACCGGTTGAGATGAACAAAAAAATAAAAAATAATGCAGGTTTTTACAGACTCTGATTCTCAGCTTTAGCAACTCTTTTTGGATATATATCATTATTTATCAGATGTAAGCTCAACAGACTAATTCCAAATGAAACAATTTTCCAGCTTTTTGACAAAGTTGTCACATTGATAAAATATGACGCTTTTGAAAATCCTTTGTGAAAATGAAAGCACAGACGTGTTTTTTCATCATGAGTAAGCATCTGCGAGGAAATGATTATGAATTTGAAGAAATTAAACCTCAGATTCTGACCCATCTTACTAATCTTGAGAGCAATTCTAAGAATCACTTTTCAGATCCGTTTCTTGGCATGAATTGACCTGAAACCCATGTACAGCTACAATCAGTGAGTAGGTAACTTACCTTTCCATAAAATCCCAGAAATTCCTGATTGAACTAGCCTGAGTTACAGCCTTTAAAATCTAGCTTGATGCTTTGCCTGTTTACGATTTTTGGATTTGTGTCCAAAATGTATACGTAGAAATCTCACAACTAGTCATTGATGTATTACTAGTCTTTGGCACAGCATATCTTCATGAAAAAAGCTTTTCAGCACTGTCTGCAGTTAAACCATTGTAACTGCCTTCAGCTTGAAAAGTGGCTTCGGAGTTTCTTTATCAACAATCCACCCTGTGGTGAGTCACCTAGTCTCAGATATGTGGCCCATCCTTCAAACTGAGTAAGTACTGTTGAGTGGATTTTTTAATTGTAAAATAGTGTTGGTACATAAAAATATGTTTTGCCTTTCAGTGGTGGTGCCAAAAATAGGCTAGGGAACCACTGACCTAGAAGACCAACATTAACGTCTTCACTGCTGTGAGAACCTCAAACCTCATACAGTGTTATAGCCATTTATAAGGGGCTTTCGAATTTTGCAGTTCTATGCACTACAGTATATGTTGATTTACATGACTCTTTCTCTGTTTTAGGGGCCGATTGTACCGTGCACTCATGCTATGCTGGCTAAATGGATCCCCCCAAATGAGAGAAGTCGTATGGGAGCTTTTGTGTATGCAGGTGAGATAGATCAGGACTTTTATGCTCCTGAAACTGTTCGACTTCATGCTTGAAGCAACAGCTCACACATCAAAATATTTTGTGTTGCAACCCGAAGGCTGTGCGTGATAGTAAGAGTTTCTGTTATCCGAAGAGCCACGTTGGATTGAAAGATTCCACATTCATTTATTTTTAAAAAAGTTTTATGGGGTCTAAATATTTAAATTCCCCTCTCATCAGAGGGTTACATATTCTATGGAACTCTTGGAATGAGGAGAATTTATAGCCAGTTTCTGTTACAGTTGATGTAACTTTATGTTGTGTACTCTTTAAGCTAAGAAGAATATGTGTACATGGCTCAAATCAGTTGACTGTATAATGTACGAGGCGCGTCTTCAAAGTAAGTTTCCCACTCGTCCCACAGCTAGCAAACGTTATATTGCGCGAAGCAACTGTGCGTACGTGATAGAGCAATGACGTAGCAT